CGGGTCAACTGAAAAGGTTCCTAATGACCAAAGCTGGTACTATTTATTTAGCCAACAAAATAAAGAAGTATTAAGCTAAACCCAAAGTATAAAATAAGTATCTGTGTATCCATAATGATAAAAATAAATGACTGAATAAGTGGTTTAATGTGAAAGGAGAGGCAAAAAATTCCAAATTATGTATGTATATACATTTCCTTCCTATAGATGGAATGTAATTCCCACCCATTGAGTGTGAGCTACACACAGTGATTTCATTGAAAAGAGTGGTACAGTGCAGAAAGGGAGCAAGAAAGTCATTTTACAGTGGAGAATCCTGAGAATCCTGATAAACCCTACTTGAGTCAGATGATTAGTCATGTTGATAGCCTGTGTCCTTCATATCATGTAGTGGAAATGTCACTTTGTCCCTGTAGTTTTTCTTCCAAAAAATCCAATATCTCTGTCTAATCATGAGAAAAACATCAGAAAATGAGAAATATGAGAAATCCCAGAAAATATTTAACCAATACTTTGCAAAATGCTCAAGGTCATCAAAACCAAGGAAGTCTGAGAGATTGTCAGCCAGAGCCAAGAGAAGCCAAAGGAGACATAAGCACAGATAACTCAATGTACACAGAACCCCAAGGGGGTTCCTGGAACAGAAGATGGACTTAGTCACTTTCCTCATCTCTGGGACAAAATACCTGAAACCCACAATTTTAAGGGAGGAGAGGTCTATTTGGGCTCGTGTTTTCACCCATAGTCGGTTGGCTCTGAGGCAGAATAGCATGGCAGAGAGGGGCCTGGTGGAGCGAAGTTGCTCAAGGCGGACCGGAAACAGGGAGTAATAGAGAAGCTGGAGAGAGAGATAAACCTGCCAGGCCATGCCTCCAGTGACCCACCTCCCAACAGCAAGTCAGCTGTAAGCTCCCATCACTAAATTACTGTCCAAAGCCCCACATATGGGTGCATGGGACATCTAGATGTAAACCATAACAGGAACATTAGGCAAGCTGATACAAATAAAATATGGGCTTTCATTAATAATAATTTCTCAATTCTGGTTTATTAATTCTAACAAATTAGATACAGCTGTATATTATTTATAACAGTAAGGCATGGATAATAGTGATAACTGGGTATGCACTAGAAATGGTCACACTCTGTACTATCTTTCCAGCTTTTCTGTAAATTCAAAACTGTTCTAGAATATAAAATTGATTTTTAGGCTGTATAATTCAAGCTGAAATTTGCTCTGTTTTAAAAGATACTAAAGATAAAGATGCAAATCTTAACTTTCCAAATGGAATCAGAGGCACAAGGATTTCCAAACATGTTTGAAGCGATGTCTAGACTCCCATCAGTGGGACCAATTAGGCTGTTGGCTGACAGGGACTGTCTTTGTGCTGGTCCCCACAGAATTGCACTGTCTCCATTACAGTGTCATTGTCAACACTCTGAAGTGTGCATGAGGAAGAAGAATAAAAATGGTGCAAACCATGCCTTCCCCTTTACCATGACCTGGTCTGTTGTGTTCTTCAGTCACTTGTATAAATATGACTGTCCCTCTGGGAGCTGAAAGTGGTGTGATCAGTACTGTGATGTGTACACTGGACTCGAGTTAGAACCTGCTAGCAGATTAGTAAAGTTCTGTGTGTGCTAAGGGTGATTGACGTGTAGGCTACACACTGAGCGGGGAAGACTCATCCTGAATGTGAGTGGCACCAATAATCAAGTCTGTATCCTGGATGAAACAAAGAGGAAAAGAAGGAAGTGCTTCTGTTTTGGAAGAGCTGCAGTCTTCACCATTGCCTTTGGACATTAGTCTCTAGTTTCTCCCACCTTCCAAGGCAGATTCACACCGGCCTCACTACAGCAAGCTTCAACCTTAGACCTTCAACTGCTACTGGGTACTGCAGCTCCTGGGCACACAGATGGCCATTATGGATTCTGCTGCCTCTGGTCCTGTAAGCCTGCCTAATAAATCCCTTCCATCATTATGCATAAATCTTGTACTAATTCTGTTCCTCTAGAGAACCCTAATACAATGGCCTTACCTTCCTGTCCACTAGGCGTGGTGTGGTTACTCTCACATTCCTCATACATCTGTATAAATCCACACTTAAGGGCTTACCCATGGTATGCTCTATCCATTTGTGGAATGCTTCCCCCAGAGTGTCCTTCTAGAGGGCTGGGACTTTGCTTTTCACCTCTGCTCCCACTCACTGGAATGCAGCACTCAGAGGAGTGGCTCATTTGTGATTTGGGGCAGTGTATTATCAGTATTTACACAAACCAATGTTTCCATTTGCACATGTGGGAGAGATCGAAAGACACCAACTCTTGATTCAGCTGTCTAAACCAAATGCACAAGTTTATCTTTTCCCATGCTTCTAAGATCCAAAGCAATTTTAAAATTTGAATGTGATTCATATAGTAGTATTAGTAATCTTAAACCTCAGATTAATTTAAAAATAGGAAATGTATATAGATGAATGGATGGAACTATACTGACAAATGGTGCTCTACTTTTTCAAAGTTTAAGTGACATCACAGGAGAGTAATACTTCAGGAAAAATGATATCTCTGTGACTTTCAAGGAGGGTACATTCTTAGATAGTCCTCCAACCTGACCCCACACTCCACACTCAAAGATAAGATTAACTTAAAACTCAGTGGAAGAAATTAAAGAGAAGCAAAGGAAATGAATCTTAAAATAGGAGTGCACCTGGGTTTTTTTAAAGTAAGATTTGCATATATTTAGAATGTTCCTGGATATCTAGAAATCCATTAAATGTTTCTTGAGTTGAGTAAATAAGTTCCACGCTGCACAGTGAATAAACTTAGCCAGCACAAACAATAAAAACCAAGACTTAGACAGGAAGATGTGATGAATAACTAGAGAACACCCACAAAGGGAGAGAAATGTTTAAAAAAGGACTCCAGTGTGTGGAAAATGGTGTGGTGAGAAGCTGGAAGATCTTGGCCCCTTCTCTCCTGCCTCCAGTTTCACTGTGCAGTGGGTAATGAGAGCAGGAGACCATGGCTGGTGATTACTTTTGAGAATTTTCTGAGTCACAATTATAATAGGTTTGAAATCAGAAAGAGTAAATCGGTCACAGTTCAACATCTCCTTGTGAATTTGCCCGGGTTGTCTCATTCTAGGCTGCACTCACATAAATACATATTTACATATTCATTCCTCTGGCAAGGAATATTTTTTGTAAAATCTACTTTAGCACCCTGATTCACCATTAACCATTGCATTGTTCTTAAGATTTTTGAAACATAAGTCTTCTTAACTTAAATATCAATACCTCTGAGAGGAATTTGTTAGCTGAGAAATAAGGAACCTGGGGCCTGAGGGCAGGCATGAGTGAATTGAAGGAAAACCTGGATTTTGTTCAAGAGGAAGCAAAACATGAGAGAGAACTTCACAAACCTGCTCTATGCTGAGCTCAGTAGAGTGGACTGGTCATTGCACAGTTTGCAAATCCACATGCTTCTTAGAACCAGGTGCCTGGAAACTGACTTTTCCATTCCCACAGGAATGAGACCAAAATTGTAGCAGAGATTTCATTCTCCTCCAACCTCATTCATCCCTACTGACTCCAGCATCCAGACCCTCTGTTCCCCACCCTGCAGACCTATGTGGAAACGGAGGAGGGATGTGCCTCCCTCTCCACCCAGGGCTCAAACAACTATTCAAAATAATCCTGCATATTTGCATTGTTCTAAGCAGTTTCTTTACACCTTTTGTTTGGGTTTGCCCCCTTTTTGCCATCCTGAATGGTAGGGATTATCTCCATTTTACTAAGAGGTTCGCCCATTGATTTTTATGCAAGTTGCATGGATAAAAGATAATGCTGCTGGGGCTTGAGTCCTGACTGCTTGTCCCCCAGAGCTCATGTATTTTCATCTCAGGTCCCATGGTGTCACATGGTCAGCAGCCTTCTCTGAATGTAAAGGTATCCCTCAGTGGTATTACGTGTCCTAGTCTCGCTATTGTCATCTACCATCCTCCAAAGGCCAGTTTAGCCTTCTTATTAGGCCAATTTGATCCCCCTCTGAGATATTCCTTATTTGCAAGTATTGCTTTATTATGATAAGAGGTCAAATTAGAATAAAATATCATGATCACAGCTGTCATTGGAGGAAAAAAAGCCTTGGAGATTAAAAGTTCCTCAAGCATCTGAAAATTTATCTGATAGATCAGAAGAACAATCTGAATAGTGAACTAAGTTTTTTTTTTTTTTGCAATAAATAACAAAGAATGAGAAGATGAAGATGGTTTGCAGAAGTAAATGAAAAATCTGACTCGCTATGCATTAAGAATGGTAATGTAATACGAGGAGGCTCTGCTACAGAAAGCCATTTTTCAGTCAGCTACTTTGTTTAATGTTCAGATTTCATTTAAATCGATAACACTTACTTTGCTGTCTTCAGTAGAAGGCATTTGAATTCCAGTAAAACATACACACACACACACACACACACACACACACACACACAATGAGAGTGGAAATGAGTCAGCCATTTCCTGTCCCAAGATTCAAATCCACTTTGCTTTTCTGGAAACATGATTCAAGCAATCCAACAATAATTTAATGAGTTGTTCTGTAAATTACAGTACTGACCACTATATAAACAAACACCAGAGGAGTATTCATGGGCATTCATCATCAGCTGTCATTTTTCTTATAAACTTCAGAACTTTCTACGTAAGTAATCATAAAGCAATGTAGTACACAAGGTACTGAAGAAGTAAGTCTGCTTTGTATGCAGACTTCAACTTTTGTTATGTTATGTATAATTACATCTTAAATTTATGACTCAGCTGTGAAAAAAAATGTGATCAGAACAAGGAACCTAAAATACAACAACCTATCTAACGAAAGTGCCACAGGGTCCTCGGCTTTGAAGGGAAAGTTTCCGGATGCAGTAAGTCAATTCCATAGCTGGTTAAATGGTGACATTTGAGGGATCAGTATCAACTAGAGTGAAATACATGTACTTACTGCAGTGCTCTCTTGGTCCTGCTCTGCTTGATATTTTTATTGTACCCTTGGATAAAAATACAAAAGATAAGTTTATCTTTGCTGTGGATGACATCCTATTGAGGTAATTGGAAATAGAATGGATGATAAAATCAGGATACAAAATATGACATGCTGACCTAACAGCCGACTCTAACAATAGACGATCCTCTTGGAATGACAGTGCTGACTTGCTTTTTGCCCAGAATAAAAGGAGGGTTGGGCTTAAAGTTTAAAAGGAGGAATGAATGGAAAATAGTATATGAATAAGGATTAATATTGTGAATTTATCATTAGCTCTATATTTGTCAACAATGTGAATAGTTAGCTGCCAGAAAAAGCAAATCAGATTTGGGGTTATATTAATACAATTAAGTTTTCTGAAATAAAAGAAATGTCAGACATGATTGAAGTCTCCATTCGGTTCTGGTCAGCTCATATTTTAAATATTTGGTTGATTTTAGAAGATAATACTTCTAGAATAATACAGGCATAATTCAATTTGTGAGGAGATTAAGAGTGAATGAGAAAAAAACTACATAGCAAGCATAATTGACATCAGGGTGAGACAAAAACCTGATATATGTCTTGAAATATTTCAATATTAGTTATTTTTAAATGTGCCACAAATCGTAACAAGATGTAGAACAAGAGTCCGTGAATATACATTTCTAAGGACTTCAATTGAGAAGCTCTTTGTAACAGTCAGATACATGCTTTTAATTGTTTAAAAATAGGCTTATGAGTACTGCTTATGTTCCAATCATTATGTTGAGTCCTGAAGATATGAGAGTGAGCAACGTAGACCCTCTCACTACTGCCATATAGGTCACTTCTGAGCTAGTTGGAGAGATAAAACCTAAATAGACAATTGGGCATTGTGATACCTGCCATGAAAGAACTATGGAGAATTTATAACTCCAGAGAGGACCAATAGAGAGTTTACTAAATGCAGAGTGTACGATATGAGGTGTTAAGAAAAACACTTTTCAGGGACTCATCATTAAAGACAGGGCTTAAAGATAAATAGGAGTTGGTCAGATGAAGAATGATGAAAAGAAAGAAACAAGAGAGCACACTCTAGGCCAAAGAAAGCATGCTTCCTTTTTTTTTCTTGAATCCAGAAAAAGCTTAGTGCATTGAGAAGCTAACAAAATGCCAGTGTGGCATTTGTTCACATTTATCAATGTCCTTGGTTCCTGGGAGATACTCTGCTGCATAGGTGGATAGGTAGCTGGCTGGCTGGCTGGCTGGCTGGACAGGTAGAGGGATGGCTGAACGGTGCTGACCTCAGAAGTGCTCCACCTCAGCCCTCTGTTTACTCTAGGGAGTGAGACAAGAAGAAGCAGGTTGAAACAATAGGCAATGAGCTTTGGAAACCTTGCTTTGAAACATAAATCTTATTTAAGGGCAGTGGGGATTCGTCAGAGGCTTAGCACGGTCACTTTTGGGTTTTAAAAGGTTCACATTGGCTGTAACGTTAAAAACAGATGGAAAGCGAGCAAAGAAAGACTGGATGGAGAGTGACCCCATTATACGGTGGCAGAGAGAAGTGTGACTTGAATACGGTGGTGATGCTGAAGATGAGAGAAGAGGGTGAATGAGAGAGATTCTAAGGGGAGTTCAATCCACGAGACCTCGTGCTGGAATGTGAGAGGGGGAGGGAGGGAGAGGTCAAGGCCTCTGAGACGCCCATGAGAGGACCTTTCTTAAGAAGCCAGCCCAATTGACCCATGATTCTAGATGGTGACTGTGTCATTCATCTTTCTGTCAACAGAACAAAATATTTGCGGTAACTAACTTATAAAGAAAAAAAATGTATTTTGGATCGGTTTCCGAGGTTCCAGTCCACGGTTTGTTGGGCCTGTGGTGATGCTACACATCGTGGTGGGAGTACGTGACAGAATGCAACTGCTCACCTCATGGTCAGAGAGAAAGAGCGAGAGAAGAGGGCCTGGGGTCCACAGTCTCCTTCAAGGGTACACCCCACAATGCCCCACCTCTTAAATGTTCCACCATCTCCTCACAGTAGCACAGGTAGAAACCAGGCCTTTGATACATGGATGGACCACTGGGGAACACATATCCAAGCCATGGCAATAGCTAATCTACCAAATCATATTTTCTCTTTGATCAAGGGGAAGAGGAGTGAGGAGAAATGAAATATAGAAAAATGGAAGCATATGAATAAGCAAGAACAGGAGTAGAGGGAGAATTGACCAGAGAAAAAAGCAGACAAAAGCAGAAGTAGAGTCACAAGTCTGACATCAGTGTGATGAGGCTCAAGTGATACTTTTGAGGGGATGACAGTGTGACCAGAATCCCAGTTCATTACAGTTCAGTTATTCAGCAAGTAATTGAATGCCTATTATGTGCCAGATATTGTTCTAGCTGGTGAGAATATTCATATGAACAAAATTCCATGTTGTCTGAAAAGGGAAGACCTTAATGAGCTTAGGAGACTGGGCAGTTGTCTATAGATGAAAGTGAAATGGCATAAGTAGGATCCAGCGACTCTCCTGGCCTTGACTTTGATACTCAGTATCTCCTCACAACTGAAGAAGTGAGAAGGAAGTTTGTTTTGTTCTACTAACCAATTCCTCGCTGGATCCTTCATAAAGTCCTAGTTGACTTTCTGTTGCAGCAAATTTTGTCAAAACTGTTAATCACATCTATTGGTACTTCGCTCTCCCATGAAACATTTTAACTCTCAATAATTCCACATTCCATTGCAATTTGAAGAATTATACATCTCAAGCAATGTATTACTGTACTTAGCATCTCAATAACACTTCCTTTGTTCAGTTATGTTTTCTATGATTGAATCTTCTTAATGTGTTCACCATGCACCATATGTTACCATTGCTTAATTTTGTCTTGAAATATTCATTTTTTTAGCTCTTAGGGACAGATACACTGAATAAAATATGTAGATTTGTCTTTATCTTTTCTTTTGTCATAAGCAGGAGAGTCACAAAGATATTTACTGGTTATAGGTGAGAAATTAAAGGACTGGTATTAGCACCCTAAAGTCCTCTGGAAAGAATTACTGTGCTTTCTTAAGCCTGTAACTCATGACCACACATGGTTGCCATTGAGGGGTAATCTCAGGGGGCTCAATTGGATAAGGATATATGAGAAGCGTGCAACAGAACCAACTTCCCTAAGCATTAGGATTCTACATTCTCAGGATATTGGAAAGCTAAATATAATGAACACCATGGGCCCTTAGGGCTTTGAGTTTAACATTTTTCTTTAAAAATAATACTATTATTCTCTGAGGAGACGAGAACAGCATTGCTTAATTTAGCTTAAGCTAACCCCAAATAGAACAGAGGAAATAATTAAATGAGTAAACATATATCTTTCTTCATTGCCCATTGATGCCAAAACTGATATGTCTTGAAAATGCAAAATCACTTAACATGGGGAAAATATCTTTAAAATGATTACACTTAACCTCACGCAGGAATGCCTAGTAATCTCAATAATTACCTTGGAGTAAACTACAATGTTGATGACCGGATTATGTACTACATTATACAACAAGCAAATATGGTGTTTGTTAGCTGTACAGGAAGGAAGTTTACTGAAAGTAGCTATTAGTACATCCATTTATATCCCGCCTCCCTGAAAAGTCCCCAAATCTGGAGAGAATACAGAGTGGAAAATTTCACTCCCAATTTAGACATCTCTGCAGGCTCCAGAGGAAGCTGCTCTGGGGCCTCCCGTGCAGCCGAAGTGGAGCTGGACCACCGCGTGATGAGCCCCCAAGCCAACAGCCGGTGCCTGACTGGAACACGAGCTACTGATCGAACAGATTCTACCTCCTCTCAGGAACATTTTTGTGTGAGAAATCAAAGAACGCTTCCCAGGAACTGATGTTCACCAAAATACTGATACACTTGCGTGCTATTTCAGCAGTTCCAATTTTGAAGAAAAATTTTGGAAAAATGCCCCAACCCACACTAGCACTCCCAGTTGTTATTCAACAGCTGTTACAAGGAGAGCAAGTAGCTGTTTGCTTGTGTTTCTTAAAGCCCCTCCTGGTAGGATGCAAGAAGGCCACACTTGACAGCGAATCTCCCCCAAACTCAAGTTATTCTGCTTTGCTTAAGCCAAGAAAAAAATAATAATCATTTTCTAACACTGGCAAGAGTAGAGATTCAGGAATAGTCACTTGAAAGAAGATATTTGAGGAAAAGGAAAAGAAAACTCTTTATCATTATTTTGGAAGCTGAATTTCCAGACTAAGCTTCTGAGATCCCCAATTGTTGCTTCTTCAGTCACCTATCCTACTCTTGAGGAAACTAAGTTTTAAATAGAAAGCATCTCACTGAAGGAATGTCACACTACTGGACTGTGCAGCTGAGAGTAGGTCTAACATGTTTTAGTGGATGACCACCCAACACAGCCAGCCTGCTGAGTACTCATGACTCAGTACTCCCAACACCCCAGTCATGAATGGGACAGTACCTTTCATGGCAGGCGGTGTGTACACGCTCTGCTTCCTTTGTTTCGGGGACGTGTTCTGTGGCTGTGGACAAAGAGAGAGACAGATGTGGATAAACACTACACTGCCTTCAGGCTGCAACATACTTCAGAGGGCTTTCTGATGTCGGCATCAAGAAAGAGAACTGTAATCAATGAGAACTTATGAACGTGTTCAGTGATATACAGGCCTAAGAAGTCATGAGGCTATAAACTCTATTTTATTATAGTGTTCTTCGACTGCAGTCTTAAAATCACTTCCTTTACTATCTCACCTAAAGAGACAAAAGGGACAAAAAGGCATCAATCCATTGAGCAGAGAAAAACATGAGTTCTGAGACAAAGTATACCTCAACAGCTATGCCTGTGGAGTAATAATACCTGTCCACAGAATTCCTGGGAGCTTCAGGAGAAGTCATGAGGACTCTTGGGAACTAATAATAATCGATAACCCTCTTGAGTTGTCATGTCCAGTCTAATGTCTTTTTTCTTTGTGCAAACTAAAGCTTAGTGGCACTCAAAGTCTTTATCAAGATGTTGATATTTACCTGATACAAAAGAAATATATTAAAAAGTAAAAAGTTCACCCAGTTGCCAAATTCCTATTAACCGAGCAAAGAGTACAAACAAATTTCTCAGGATTAGAATGCTTTGGTCTGTCATGCACAGATGCAGGCAGGGTGACAATTAATGTTAAATGCATGAATAATTGACATTTCTGGGCACTTTCATTGTTCTGGTCATGCCCAGATGATTTTGAGAAGCAATCACGTCTGGAATTTCTTTTGTATTGTACATACACGTATTCAAAGATCAAGTATAAAATTAATTGCAGGAAAGTGCTTTTTTGTTGTTTAGTACCACAGTACTAAGCTTAGGTGATAAAACTATACTTATGTAAAAACTTAATTTTGTATTTACATCTCTCTAAATGCTTTTAAAAGTCTTGTGAGATAAAATGTGCTATTCTATCCTTTCCACATTTTCCTCTTTAGGTATTGCTACATGTCTGCTCACATGTGCTCACAGGATTAATTCTTAAATCCACAGAGCATCCTAGCCAATATTTGCTCCATTTCTGAGCACAAGTTTTCTCCCATCTTTGCATTTTATATAATCTATATCATTAGCTCCCCTAGGCTCCCTTGATTCTTATTTTCAGTCTGATCTCCCACATAAGAATATGGAGGGGCAAAAGATGACACTGTTCAGACTTGCTGCTGAATTAGTATCTGAGTACGTTTCTTGGTGAATTCGATAGTTCTGGTTAGCTAAGCTTTAGAGGACTCCATCCTTTGCTTTTGGGGTTCGCTTTGGCTCCACACACCAGGAGACCCTTTAAGAGGTGTCTGCCACCACCCTCATCTCCTGGCTCAGAGATTTCAACAGTGCCTGTGCTGCTTATATACAATCACTTGCTATGTTACAGTTATTGATACCATATCTTGCCAGGAAAACCAATGCTTTATTTTAGGTATTGGTGCAGAGCTCAGGATTTCATAGAGAATCGAGGTAACTGAGAGGCAGAGATTTCAAAGACCCCATTTACTATGCAGTCAGATAAAGCACACTAAACAGCTTATATATCACAGTCATATCCATATCATATTTTATAACACATCAAATCAAGGTAATTGTCTTTGATTTGAACATATTTATACAAAATAGAAAAAACTTACTTCTCCTTGTGTGTTGGTCGCCCTCTTGTCATCTATTTCTGAAAGAGAAGTAGGTATCATTTATTAGAAATGTGACACTCATATCTGTAATATACATGTGAACATTTTCAAGGACATATATCAAACCAATAACTGCCTCCAGTGAGATCACAATGGTGGCTTGGAGCTGAGCTCAGGGGGCCTGGGTGGGTGGTTCCCTTCTGAGAGGACTTTTTCCCGAAGGCCTAACACAGGTGGTGAAACACAGACTTCTTGGCATCCTGGATTCCCCACCTTCCAGCCGTCAGGGGAAATGACTTCTGGAACAATGGTTGGTGTCAGCAACCTCACAGTGCCAAGGTGTAAGCAACCTCCATTGCTCGTAGATTTTGCTGCTGTTGCCACGCATGTTGACTACAACCTCCATCAGATTCTTCAAGTTTGTCACTAACCAGACCAAACCTGCTCTCCTACTCAGCCCCGTCACCACAGTGCTAAGCCAGCACCTCCTCTCTGTATGCCCCGGGAGGAACCAATTACTCTGTCAAGCCCTTCTTATTATGGTCCTGAGGAACCTTCCATGGTCTGTCCACAGGGATGTAGAGGAGAGGGCCTCACATGCATCCCATCCACAGAGCAAGGACGCCCAAGGCTGGCTGGTTCCCTGCCTCCTCACCAGCTTTGTATGGATTCTGCCTTTTCCTTCCTAACCCAGTTATCCTTACCTGATCCTTATGCTAATCCCAAAACTAAAAGACTGATCCTATGATCCCAAAACAAATGAGTTCATCAATGAGTATCTGCTTCAAAACAATTAATATAAATACTATACCATATAAATATTATACACTACATAGGTTAAAAATGTTAACTATATGCATGGTATTTTTGTTTTATAAAGGATAGATAAATGTAAATGGAGGCATGCATATACATTCATAGAAAGATACCTATATGCTACCCATGGTTATTTCTGGGTGACTGGATAACATATTTCTGCTTTATTTTTATCTGTACTAAATGTTTTTTTCTAATAAGTATGATTACTCCTATAATTTGCAAAGCATTGTAGATTTCTCTATGTAGATATATACACACATGTATATATCTATACAGACTAAAATTTTTTTTTTTTGGAACTGGGGATCGAACTCCGGACCTTGTGCTTTCAAGGCAGGTGGCGGAACAACTGAGATAAATCCCTGGCCCCATACTAAAATTTGTATATAAATCCAACTGTGTTGGACTAAAATGGCCAAGTGGCTGGAGTGAATAGTATACAGAACTATTGTTTATTTTCATATCTTGATTGCTACATGTCAAAAACATATAAATATGTAAGAAAATTTGTCATCTTTCTATAGGAAAGGACAGCCAAGAAGCTATGTGATTATGACAGCAATAACAACTGTTTGATGGAATCACTACAAGTATCTGGCTTATCACCACAGCTATGAATATACTAAACTGAAGAGTCCTATCTGTCAAGGTGAAACCTGTTACAATCTCATTTTAGTTAAATATTTGGTATGATCCATTCTACAAGGGCTTGCACTGTGATCAATTGGGTGGTTAAATGTCAATGGGCTTCTTAATATTTGATTTATGTTTTGGGGGCTCCTAAAATTCAACCCATGACTTCTAACCTAGTGTTTAGGAATGAAATGGGGCCCAATCCTTCAGTTTTCTACTCTTTTCTTCTCTTCTACTACAAGACACACTAAAACAGTGTCTTTCTAAGGCAACTGTGAAAACTTAACTTATTGCACAATTCGATGAAAGCAGATTTTTGTTTTTGTTGAGTTACATTGACATAAACCAGCTATTCATGTCATGAAAATGACTACTGAGAAAACTCAGTCCTGTGTTCTTATCTTGAAATTGAAGAGTGAAAATGAAATGACGTTTGAGTCAAAATGACTCAGACAAAAAGTGCAGGGAAGCGGAGAATAGATCATAGTGTTCTCAAGACTCATTGATTTTAATCCATTTATTTTTCCCTTAATAAATTATTGTTCCTGCTCCAGGGATTTAGCTCAGTGGTTCCACTGCTTGCCTCACAAGTGGAAGGTCCTGAGTTTGATCCCCAGTACCAAAAAAAATTATTGTTCAACTGGAGAGATGAATCTTTTCTGCCTCCAAAACACCTCACATAAGTGTGCACACACATGCACACACAGAGGCTCACAGAACACACTCATGGGGCACAACATGAAAACACAAACACGTGTTCTCTCTAAGTTTTACATGGAAATTATCACCAGAAAAGGAGACCCTTCCAAGCACATGTAAGTCTCACTAGCTCTTTGCACTAAGACATTGAAATAATATTTATAATATAGCTCTATGTTCTCTTCAGTCTCAAAATTATGACTTTGTGGCAACTTCAGAAGTATTCAAGAAATGCTGGCTCCCCTGTGAAATATAAGAATAGAACCCTGAATTCAAATACTTTTTAGCTTTCTCATTAAACCAGAAAAATGATAACTGCTTTGAAACAGAGATGAACAAAATCCACTTGTTAACTGATGAGGTTTGTCAGTTGATCCAACTCTTCTAAAAGAGGCTGTTGTACCTATTCTAGCTTTATCATATGTGTAATTCCCCCTCTCTCAAAAGCCAATTGGCCTGAACGAAGAAATTCCTTTCTTTGGAAGAAAAATGTTAACAGTCACCTAAGTATAACATTTGAAGAAATACTACCATCATCAAAGATGGAGATAGAGATATAAATATTCCAAAAAGTTTTGAGTATTGATTAGTTAGAAAGCTCTTAGTATATTTAAATGCATGAAAGGAACTGGGTAAATTCAGGGTCTTTGTGGGTATGCATAATACCAATAATCTGCTATTTTTAGAAATGTCAGTGGCATCTCATCAGACTTTCAAAACATAGTTGTAATAAAAAAGTAAGTGCTTCAATAAATGAAGACTAAGAGTGAAGAAATGGAAAAGGCCCACATCAAAAAATGAAGTTTCTGAATTATAACAGAGTGAGAGCTATAAAAACTAAGAAATAGGGAGAATGTAAAGAGATAGAAATATAAAGAAAGCCTAGAGATCCATGACTGAGGCTGGCAACAAAAATGTGGATCTTGGTGATGAGCACTAGAGTGCTATCCAGTCTCTGGTATGGTTTTCCACTTATCTGTGATGACCATATAAAAGTCACTCACTCTTCCCGGACTTTAGGGTATTCTTATATGAAGCAGGGAAGAGGATGCAGAATCATCCTTACTCTGCCATCCTAATTCATCATAAACTTTTTTAAGGAATAAAAATTTGAAAAACTGATGACAAAATTCCCCTACTCTTTAAGCACAAACTGAATGTAGGACTTCCTTACAAAGAGCACAATATAGAAAAGGAGAGGAGGGAAAAGAGTAGCTCTATAGCAAGAAAACATGGCCAACATTGATTCAGTCAGGTCACCAAGTTCAACATCACCGGCCATGAAGTTTGTTGAGGGTGTGAACTCTTGATAGATATGATAAAGATGGCTCTTTACCTCAGGGAGTTGCCTTCCCAAAACCCAGTCCTGTCAGGACAGACATACTAGACAAATCGTAATACTGGGATATTGTATGATATACTGACCCGCCATCCTCCAAACTGTCAAGGTCAGAAAGAACAAGTCAAAGAAACTGTAGTCAAGACAGGCTTAAGGGCACATGACAACTAAATGTAGTGGAGAACCCAGATGGGATTCTGTAATAGATAAAGGATATTCAACAGGAATTGAGGAAATCTGAATGAACTATGGACTTCAGTTAGTAATAATAAATTAATATTGAGTCACTGATTATAACAATGTGGCACTTTACTAAGGTGAAATGTGGATAATGGGGAAACTACGCACAAAGAAGGATTTATGGGGCATTCAATGTATCTACCCTGCTTAACTTTTTAGTAAATCGAAAACTGTGCTCAAATTAATTCTATTAATAAAAACTTCAGCAAAAAGAAGAATGAATAAGCATTAAATGTAATAAAAATTATCTTAAGAATATATTTTTGTTATTACTGTCAGGGTAATATTTGAAGAACACTAGAGAGTCATTATTAGAAAGTAAGGTAGCCATGGAAACAATATTGCTTTTAAAAATATTATACAGAAACAAAGATATAAAGGAAAAGGTAGGACCGAGGTTTCAAAGAAAATTTTAAAGTTTAGTAGAATTTGTTGAATGCTAATTTAAACATAGACATGTTAATGTAAAAAATGAGTTAATTGATTTCAAAGCAATTTCAGTGATAATGAGAACACTTTGATTTATTTACTGACTGAATATAGAGGGATGCACAGGTACCAATAACAAGTTAGAAACTACTACTGACATCTGCTTGGTTACACACACACACCCCACACCCATCTGCTACATCTGTGCATTTACTCCACGTCGCAGTTATCTCTCAGGGTCCTCTTCAGGTGGCAAGTCCTCCAGAAAATCTTTCCCAGTTGGTCCCCAAGTGGAAGTCACCCTCCCCGCAGCACCCACTGCACTTCCTCCATGCCTGATGCCCAGAGTGCTCTGCTGTCCACAAACCCTAAACTGTGGTCATTACTGTTTTATCTCCCCAGATCACCTGTGCAGCATGGGAGCAGCCCCCACGTGTGACCTTCCACAGTTTAGCTGTGGGTGGCAGACAACAGCAGGTGTCCGTGGGTATTGCTTAACGTTCCTGTTTCATGAAAAAACACCATCCATTTGCTGCTTCTCTTTATTCCCAAACACAGCAGGGGGGCAACTGTTTGCTCATAGTAGGGGCAAAATAAATACTTTTGATAAATAACTGCTTGACTCGCAAATGCATTAAAGCAGAAACCATCATTCCTAGTTTTAAAAGTTGTTTTACTAGCTTTGTGGAAGTGCTGCAGACACTCAAATTCTCATAAATATTGCCTAAGTGGTTCAAAAAAGAATCTTAGAGGGAAAATACAGATATGTGACTTCGCTCTGTTGGTTTCTAGTGATAGGGAAGCTATCTGGGTCATGAACAATTTATATGAGAATTAAAAATAAGTGGTAAAGTCAAACTTAATACATTGTTTTATAGA